ATTTCTATATTTGCAACAAAAGCTGGAAAAGCTTCACTTGTTCACAAGTTGCCATGTTTTATCCTAGGTATAAAGGTAATGATGATGATTCATATTTAACTATTACTGGAGCATCCATCCAAATTATATACCAATATACTATAGTCTTTTTGCTTTATCAAAATGTTGGTGTAACTATCAATCAATAGTAACTAATGATTAATTAATAAGTTAGAATCCACCTACTCTGGCATAAACAGTACCTAAGCAGCCAATCCTGCAGAAGTGCAGCACCTTGTGGTGCCAGCAAGTTCCTATGTTAGTCTTCAAATGAAGCCCTGTGTTCATGGATCCTATACCAAGGCTGTACACAATGTCTAGACTTCTCTCCAAGGCAAAATCAAGTCCACCTCAGTCATGTAATGGTCAAATGTCAAAACAACAGTACAGACAGTTACTGACAGGAATGAGGCTTAGTGCCAGGAAGGGATGGGACTTAATCTAGTGTTAGTGCAATGTTGAACCCATGTTCACAGCATAGGCTCAGAAGGGAATGGACAGGCACACAAGAATTGATTTGCAGACTAACATTACTTGTAGGCAACACAAGATGCTTGCACACCAGCACTGTTGCTACCTTAGAAACCAGGTCAGGTTCACTTAAAAAGTTAGCTTTTTAACTTTAGGTAGCATACCTATAAATGTCGGAACAAGAAAGGCACTAGTGAAATTCTCGTAATCTTTTTATTTTGGCTAATAAAATAGTTAAACATTGCAAACAAGTGTCAAAGTTGAGCAATAATTTTAAAAGTAAAACAATATCCTACAAAGTATTGGTGGCTTCAAAAGATGTGGCTACTGTTATTAATATAATAATTTGGCCAATTTTAGCCAACCGCTAAGTATCTAATATCAGAACACTGAATTTGTGTATATAAATAAGGCACACTACTACTCCATAATGCTTGTTGAAACTGTAGTATTGTTTTTGTTATCAATAATGCTCACATGGTGGACAAAATGTGTACAATTCAAGAGATTTTAATGTAAGTTTTTAAACAGTACTTTCATTATATCAAATTGGTAGTATGGCTTTGTTCTTAATGTATGGCAAGCAAGGCTCCTAGCTGCCCCTGATTTGGAGGGATTGTTCCTCATTAGTAATCAAATTCCTCTGCCCCTCTTTGTACCTCAGGTGTCCCTCTTTTTTCTCTGATGTATAGATCTCTATTTTAAATCAACTATTTAACAACTAAAAGTGTTATACTGCACTAAAACTTTACTCTAACCTCTAAATTATTTTAGATATAAAGAAAAGCAGTAGTGATAAAAGCACTTGTGGGTTTCAGCAATCATTTTGCACACGTATTCCTCATGGTCTTTGTTAGGGATGCACTGATACCGATACTAGTAATGGTATCGACGCTGATACTTGGGTGGATACTTATCCCGATACCGGAACTTCCGATATCAGGAAGCCAGGCGGCGAGTCCTTACATGCCACCCGGCTTCCTGATTTCCTGATTGGCCAGGAAGCTGACTACATGGTCCCTCGTCACCATGGGGCATGGAGCTGGCTTCCTGGCCAATCAGGAAGCAGGAGGGGCGGGAAATGACTCATGACTCATGGCCAATCAGGAAGCCAGACGGCGTGTAATGACTCGCACCCGGCTTTCTGATACAGAAGCTGACCAATCAGAAAGCGGGGCGACAAGTCATTACTCGCTCCCCGGCTTTCTGATTGGCCAGGGAGCCAGCTACTTGGCCAATAAGGAAGCCGAACGGCATTTAATGTCTCGCCTCCCGGCTTCCTGATTGGTCGGGAAGCTGGCCAATCAGGAAGCCGGGCAGCGTGTCATTACCCGCCCCCCGGTTCCTGATTGGCCAGAAAGCCGCCTCCATGCTTCCTCGTTACCTGGTGACAGGAAAGCATTGAGTTGGCTTCCCGGGTAATGGGACTTCCATATCGGAACTCGGTATTGGCAAACACCGAAAAAAATATCAGTACTTATACTCGATACTGAAAAAACAGTATCGCTGCATCCATAGTCTACATAATGGGGCAAGGTAGGGGTGTGTCCTTTGCTTACATACTTTGACTAAAAAGGTGTCCCTCTTTTTCATTTTAGAAAGTTGGGAGTTATGTGCAAGTTCGCAAACAAAAAATGTCATTGTATAAAAAAAAGACTGGTTTACCAAAAACACCAAACTGCGCAGAAAGTTTAACATATACATATTAAAGAAAGACACTGGGCAGAAGAAATCTTAAACCTTGCAGTGCTGCTACACCCACACTGCAAGGAAAGATAACAAAGATATACTCACCTGAACCTCGCCTGGTTTGCTGCTAGACAGGTCCCTTGTAGTCTCTCTCCACCTCCACTCCAGCAGTTTAAAGTCTCATTAATCATCACATCTAATACAGTGAATTGGGCATGAGGATGCCGAGGGACACTCCATTGCTGGAGCGAAGTGAGACAGAGGCTACAAGGACCAGTCTAGCAGCCAGCCGGGTCCTAGGTTCAGGTGAGTATATCTTTGTTATTTTAGACCCTAGACAAAATGACAAAAATTAGCACTTAATCCTTGCAGTGCAGGTTTAGTCAAACAGCAAGGGTTAAGATTTCTTCTACCCAGACCTCTTTAAATGAAGCAATGTAAAATTCAGTGATAAATCCCAGCAACCAGTCATATACAATTATAGTTCAGTCTGATTAGTATTGTATGGGTTACTGTACCTTGCTCATTGCTCTTCAACTTAAACAATACACTAATAAAAGTACTATGTAAAGCCAGCCTGTGTTTAGCTGCACTTAATGATATGAACAAACATATATGATTTATCTGTATCACTGATGATTTTTTATGTTACTTTCCTAAATGAGAGAAAACCCATAATCAATAACTTACAGGGTGATTCACAAAAGGGTGAAGAGTTTGGAGAAGGCAGGAGAAGAGAACAATCTAGGACAACATAGCTGATTTGGAAACATTCTCCAATTCAAATCAATTTCCAGTTCAGCTATGTTGTCCCAGATTGTTCACTTCTCCTGCCTTCTCCAAACTCTTCACCCTTTTGTGAATAACCCCCTTCAAGCAAGCAAGAAAGCAGGGGATTACCTTTCAATAAAAGGAAGAAAGATCATCAATTTAACTAAATTAAATTGTTTTTCATGTAACAGCCTACTACCATTGTATCGAAAACCCCATTCTGACATCTGTCTCTAAAACTGTGACATAATCACCAAGCAGTACATGAGAATAGCCTATCTGCAAGGTCTGGGCAACAAACAATGTTAGCATATTTATAATAGTGTTCAACCTAGCTATGTTTGGTCAGAATTGTGAGCCAAGAGATTGCCTGTTACAGATATTTTCAGAGTCATAAAGCTAGAGCTGAATATTTAAAGTGCCAATGTGGGATATAAGGATTCTGATATAATCTCCTGGAATGCTTTGCAGTGGAAGATACCCCTCATGGCATGCTCTGAAAGATCACAGAGCAGAATACAGAGCTTTATTTTAAACTACTCGGCAAACAATAAGCATTCCACCATATAATACCCTAAAACTGCAAAGGGGCTAATCACTGTATTTAAGTAGTACATCAATTTCTGCACAAGAAGTATATAAAAACAGAATCTGAAATGAAAAAGCCAGTAACATTTGGTGACAATAACCAAACTGGCATGTAGACAAAATAATAACCATGGAGGACAGTTTTAATGCTATCTTGACTGTTCCAATAAAACACACAGAAATGAATATGATTAAGGCAATAACTGTTTAGACAGTGCCAATACTGGATAAAATGTTTTGGATGTCTGGTAACAAAATAAGAAAATGTTGTTTTTTTTCTACTAAAGACGTATTTGACTATTTCAGGGTACATTAGAAAGACAGAAACCTGTTGTTCTGGGTTATTTCCAAATGTTTCCCCAATTAGTAATTAAGTCTAGTTGAGGTTTTGAACTAGTCAGCAGCATCCACAACCGTAATTGTGCTTTACAGACTGTATATGGAATAGAATCATTAAGTATGTAGCTTTGCATACACAAAGTTCTAAAGAGCTGATTTTAATAAAGCAACAATTGTGAATTGTTTACCACCGCAGCCAATCAAAATTCTTTATAGTCCAGTAAAATGAAAATTGAAATGATTGGCTGCTATAATTTTTTTTCTCATTTCTTCTTCATTTCTAATTATTTAGCTCTATTTTTTGATGTTGGTTATAGCCTCACTGTCATTCCACTAAGAAGTCAGGTGCAGCCAGGCAAAATCTTTCATCATCTCTTGATGGTGTACAGAATTATTACAATTCATGACTTCAAAATAAAACTCTGGTGGTCTGTTTAGAATATTTACTGCTATGCTGGAAATTTCTCTAAAACCAATGGAAACTGATCAGACTAATGTATGGTAGATCTTTTAAGTCTCCGTACTGCCCAGGTTAGCACAGAACATAGGGATGTGGATTAATGTATTCATAGGATGAAGGAGATCTGAAGGTATCTATATAGTTATGTAACATTATTTGGAGAATGTATAATATGTGATGCTTGGTTCTAGTGGACGAATGACTACCCTGTGTATCATTAACTTAAGTCCTATAGATAGTACATCAGAGCTTGTTCTTCCCTGTGACATGCCAAGAGATGCTATGAGTATAAGCAGTTTCAGCTTCTATCTGCTTACTTCAGACAGAACATTGAAGCCAATGCAGCAAAGCATGTGTTAAGGATCAGGACCAAAATAAGTATATTGTATCTAAAAATGTATACAATTAAAAAATATATAATGCACACACACATATATATATACTGTATATATATTCACAACAATTATATTGCCATGAGATTATTAGTTTCATGCAGATGAGGCTGTGTGTTTTTTTGGATCTGTTTATTAAATGCGATGTGCGTGATCAGTACTGGTTGTGTTTCCTTGTTTTTGCTGTGGGTTAATTGTGATAGTTAAGTATGGAAACTATTAGAGGTAGCAAGAAAACCAGAAATTCTCACCTGTATTCTTGGTTGGTTCTGGCATTTTGTCAATACCTCTTTACTCCAAAAGAGTATTGAACCTCCCAGAAAACAAAAACCAGTTTACCAGCAGCCAGGTAGACACACAACAGAGAAGAAGATCAGCCTGAGAGCAGAGGGGGAGATGAATTCCTCCACTTTATATACAGCATTGAAATATCAATCAGAGAGCACCTCCTCTGTTTACTATGCAAATGTGCAGAAAAGTGACAGTTATGGGAACTCTCCCATCTGTTGTCTGAACGCTCTGCCTCTCTCAGCTTTTGGAAAGAATCTTTGTTGCATCTCATGTGGCTGATGAGAACATCTCTGAGCTTCTAAATTAAGCTGCTCACACAAACACATAGGAATCAGTGATGATATTAACGGGTACCAGTTAACATTGCTAGATATATCTTTTGTTTCATGTGATTAAGTGCTTAAAAAAAGAATACAATTTAGATGAAGATTTGAAACATGTCCCAATAAACAATATCTTTCAGCAATGCAAAAGTGTTAATATTACCATACAGTAATAAAATATATGGCAAGATGTAAAATGTAGATAAGATCTTGCTGCACTCCTTACAGGAAATCCCAATGATAGGGAAGGGTGCTCGAAATGACTGCGGATGGCACAGCCAATCACATAGGTTTTGTTGAGAAGAATGTCACTAGCACACCAAAATCCTTCCAGGTTCACCAAAAGTTCATTTTATTGAACAATTGTCAATTGAAAACACGCGCTTTTGGGGCCTTGCAAGGTCCCTTCATCAGGCTTAACCTCTATGATGTTAAGATTTAAAATGTATCACATGCAAGGCCTTTTCTAGTATTGATATTCCCATTCTTGGACCAGTTCAGTACTCTCCCATGTGGCCGCCTTTGTCTGACACCGCAATATTTTCTAAGGTTTTAAAGTGTATATTGCCCCAAAATGTAATATTTGAAATATGTGACTGTGTTTTAGGCTTTTTTCCCCTTTATTTTCACTGGGTGATCTGGCCAGTAACATACTTACTGTCTTAGGGTGACTCAACTCTATGGAGGACCAATGGAGCCATCCTTGGACAACAGCATTGTCACCCTGTGGAGAGGGTAGTCTTAGATGGACTAGCAGATTTAGATGGACTTGGCTAACAAATTAAAGGAGAACTCCAAAAATTTCAGTCTACTATAACTACAGTGGCTTTTGGAAGTATTAAAGATATGTGCTTACTTTTCTGCATAGCAATGTAGTCTTCCAGAAATCCATGGTACAAGCCTGTGCTTCCTGCTCTCTGCCCCCTTAATTTCCTTTCTGTTAGACCACTAGCCACTGTCCAGTCTATCAGCCTAGACAGTGGTCTAATAACCTCCGCTCTGTAGTTCTATTGTAGCCAGCAAGAAAGTGATGACATCCCAGCACACACTACAGTGGGTGGAGTAGGAAAGCCTTAGGCCCCATTCACAACGGGGCGGTTGCAGATCAGCGTGGTTTCCACGCTGATTTCAAAAGGGAGGTTTTGGGAGTAAAACACCCAAAACCACGGTTCTATTGAAAGTTGTATAGAAACCACACTGATCAGCGTGGCAAAAAAGGGTCAGAGAGCGATTCGGCCGGGGGGCGGTTCGCATCTGTTCCCATAGCAATTTATGGGATTGTTCATGTCGGCAGATCCGCTTGGCCAAATCCACACGGCCAAACCACCCTGGTGTGAACGGGGCCTAAGACTTGTGGTCTGACCCCGCCCACTCTCAGTGCAGAGCTCCCTGCTCTGTCACACCTCCTTACCTGAGACTGGGCGGTGCTGGAACTCTGTGTAAAACATGCTACTCTTCTAGTCTAGTGATGGGAAATTCGGATCTTTTTGAATCGGTTCATTTCAAACTGTTCATTCAAATGAGTCTGCTGACAAGCATGTGAACTGAAGCTCAGGAGCTGACTTTATGGTGCCCATACACTGCTCGATTCTCGTACGAGAATCGCGAGAAATCCCACGATCGTACGAGAATCGAGCAGTGTATGGAATGCGTGCGACCGTTTCTACTGTATGGTCGCACGTCTTTTGTCTAAGGAGCACGCTAGAAAACCGGACGATTTTCGGCTGGTTTGAACGGTGCTCGGGAGACAAATGCCGAACGGGCCGGTGTGCACACTGCCCGTTCAGCATTGCGATCATCGGAAGCCCGCCCCTCAGAGGGGCGGGCTTGCGATGATCGAGAGTACGATCTGCCTGTCCAAGATGGGCAGATCGTACTTTTTTTAATCACTTTACAACCATCACAAGACTAAGGTCTTGCAATGGTTGTACAGTGTATGGCCACCTTTAACCTAAAGGGTTGACGTATCAAACTAAATGAGGACTCTCATTCAGACTCTGTGTGTCATCTCTCTTATCTCCCTGCAAGGTTGTCTGTCCCTCACCACTGCTTGACATGCAGGGGCACCGGTAATGTATCTATTCCCTGTGTCTGCACTCAGCAAAAAAAACAAAAACTAAAGTCACTGAAAAACACAGTACTTTGTAGCTCTTCCCATCTCTACCCTCAGCTCTGCCTACACACACCTCCCACTTCCTCTATTTTACAATGGCTCATGGGAGATGTAGTCAGCTCTCTATACGAGGATATGTCACACACTGGTTACGTAGATCCTCCCACTGGCTGTAGGAAGAACTGATCTAATAATAGGAGGATGTGACATCACTGGCAGCTAAAAATGAGAATTACAAGAAAAGTAAGAACTTGTATGATATATTGTCATAGCAGTTAGATTCCTCTGACTAAGGGGGACCTAAATATATAAAGTGAGGTGCATCCTGGAGTTCTTCTTCAAAGCCGAACTCAAGTTAAAGGAGAACTATGAGGTGAGTGCTTTTCACTCACCTCATAGTTCTAGCCGACCTGTGACAATGAGACTGTCACAGGTCGGCTCAGTAGATCGGGAAGTGAGCGAACACATACAGGCGTTCGCTCACCTCTCGATCCTGTCACGGCTCTCTGCTGTGACAGGGGAGGGGCTGGATTCCCCGCTCCCATCCTCCAGCGCTGACTGGTGACTAATGTATGGTAGATCTTTTAAGTCTCCGTACTGCCCAGGTTAGCACAGAACATAGGGATGTGGATTAATGTATTCATAGGATGAAGGAGATCTGAAGGTATCTATATAGTTATGTAACATTATTTGGAGAATGTATAATATGTGATGCTTGGTTCTAGTGGACGAATGACTACCCTGTGTATCATTAACTTAAGTCCTATAGATAGTACATCAGAGCTTGTTCTTCCCTGTGACATGCCAAGAGATGCTATGAGTATAAGCAGTTTCAGCTTCTATCTGCTTACTTCAGACAGAACATTGAAGCCAATGCAGCAAAGCATGTGTTAAGGATCAGGACCAAAATAAGTATATTGTATCTAAAAATGTATACAATTAAAAAATATATAATGCACACACACATATATATATACTGTATATATATTCACAACAATTATATTGCCATGAGATTATTAGTTTCATGCAGATGAGGCTGTGTGTTTTTTTGGATCTGTTTATTAAATGCGATGTGCGTGATCAGTACTGGTTGTGTTTCCTTGTTTTTGCTGTGGGTTAATTGTGATAGTTAAGTATGGAAACTATTAGAGGTAGCAAGAAAACCAGAAATTCTCACCTGTATTCTTGGTTGGTTCTGGCATTTTGTCAATACCTCTTTACTCCAAAAGAGTATTGAACCTCCCAGAAAACAAAAACCAGTTTACCAGCAGCCAGGTAGACACACAACAGAGAAGAAGATCAGCCTGAGAGCAGAGGGGGAGATGAATTCCTCCACTTTATATACAGCATTGAAATATCAATCAGAGAGCACCTCCTCTGTTTACTATGCAAATGTGCAGAAAAGTGACAGTTATGGGAACTCTCCCATCTGTTGTCTGAACGCTCTGCCTCTCTCAGCTTTTGGAAAGAATCTTTGTTGCATCTCATGTGGCTGATGAGAACATCTCTGAGCTTCTAAATTAAGCTGCTCACACAAACACATAGGAATCAGTGATGATATTAACGGGTACCAGTTAACATTGCTAGATATATCTTTTGTTTCATGTGATTAAGTGCTTAAAAAAAGAATACAATTTAGATGAAGATTTGAAACATGTCCCAATAAACAATATCTTTCAGCAATGCAAAAGTGTTAATATTACCATACAGTAATAAAATATATGGCAAGATGTAAAATGTAGATAAGATCTTGCTGCACTCCTTACAGGAAATCCCAATGATAGGGAAGGGTGCTCGAAATGACTGCGGATGGCACAGCCAATCACATAGGTTTTGTTGAGAAGAATGTCACTAGCACACCAAAATCCTTCCAGGTTCACCAAAAGTTCATTTTATTGAACAATTGTCAATTGAAAACACGCGCTTTTGGGGCCTTGCAAGGTCCCTTCATCAGGCTTAACCTCTATGATGTTAAGATTTAAAATGTATCACATGCAAGGCCTTTTCTAGTATTGATATTCCCATTCTTGGACCAGTTCAGTACTCTCCCATGTGGCCGCCTTTGTCTGACACCGCAATATTTTCTAAGGTTTTAAAGTGTATATTGCCCCAAAATGTAATATTTGAAATATGTGACTGTGTTTTAGGCTTTTTTCCCCTTTATTTTCACTGGGTGATCTGGCCAGTAACATACTTACTGTCTTAGGGTGACTCAACTCTATGGAGGACCAATGGAGCCATCCTTGGACAACAGCATTGTCACCCTGTGGAGAGGGTAGTCTTAGATGGACTAGCAGATTTAGATGGACTTGGCTAACAAATTAAAGGAGAACTCCAAAAATTTCAGTCTACTATAACTACAGTGGCTTTTGGAAGTATTAAAGATATGTGCTTACTTTTCTGCATAGCAATGTAGTCTTCCAGAAATCCATGGTACAAGCCTGTGCTTCCTGCTCTCTGCCCCCTTAATTTCCTTTCTGTTAGACCACTAGCCACTGTCCAGTCTATCAGCCTAGACAGTGGTCTAATAACCTCCGCTCTGTAGTTCTATTGTAGCCAGCAAGAAAGTGATGACATCCCAGCACACACTACAGTGGGTGGAGTAG